GAATGAAGAATCCTGGGAAATAATTATCCTTTCATTAACTTTTAGTTCCAGTTAGGACACTTTAAGCATACAGAAGGTAAAATGCCCAGATACCCGGCCAACCTCATTTAACGTATTTTGACATGTTGCCCTACTTAAGTCATATTGCACTTTCTTAAGAAATGAAATGTAAAATAAAATTCTCCATTTCACCTAAATTCAGAATTATTAGTACAAATCATATACATTCCCTCCTAGTATTTTTTACGTTTTTAAAATTTATTATTTGTGTGTATGAGTGTTTTGTCTGGGTGGGTGGATGTGCACTATGCACAAGCCTGGTGCCTGAGCCGTTCAGAAGAGGGCACCAGATGCCCTCGGGCCTGGAGTCACAGGGGGCTGTGAGCCACCGTGTGGGTGCTGGGAACCAAGCCCTTGCCATTTGCAATAGCAAAAAGTGCTCTTAGCCCCTGAGCCAACTCTCTGGCCTCCTCCTGGTGTTCAGTAACTCTAGGATCTGTCTTATCTTCCTGCCTCCACCTCCACCGCTCCTGTCTTGTGTGGCACTGGGGATTGACCCCAGGGCTGCGTGCATGCTAGGCAAGCGCTCTGCACCGAGCTGCATTTCCAGCCCCTGAATTACTTTCAGTCTTAGTACAGAGGTGCTACTCTTTCCCCGGTTTATCAATTTCACCGATCTTTGAGAAGAACCATCATCCTGTTTCATTTATTTTCTCTTCGTTTTCCATGTTCTGTTTCATTGATTTGTCTGTTATTATTTCTTTGTACTTATTTTTATTTACTTGCTTCGCATTTTTTTCTTCAAATGGCTATTTTAACCACTGATTTTAATCTTTTCATTTTTCTCCATTTCTTTCAGAAGCATTATATATATATATATATATATATATATCTGTTAATTGGCTTTTCTTCACTTGACAAAGGTACCTTAAAAAATTGACTTAAGGGAGGAAAGCTTTATATTTGCCTCACAGTTTAAGCCTTCCATCCGTGGCCACGTGGTCATGAAGAATCAGAGCATCATGTCAGGGAACATGGCGAAGCCTTAGCAAGGATGGCAAGGAAGCAGGGTGAGGTACTCGAGACAGGCTATACCATTCCCAGGCATGCTTCTCCCCTACCCAGGAGGGTGGTTCACCTCCTGGTTCCCACCACCTCCTGATCCATTCAGTTGTTGTAAGCGTAGAGCAATCCACAGATGACATCAGAGACCAATGATGCAATCGCTTCCCCAAAGCCTGGCCATAAAATGTCGCTGTCCTGAGCCCCAAGCCTTCTTCATCTGATGAGTCTTTGAGGGACATTTCAGACTCAAGTGCTGCCTTACCCACATGCCACAGGTTTTCATATAGTGTATTTTCATGTCATTTAATTCAAGAGACCTTGTACTTCTCTATATGTTTTCTTCTTTGACCCATAGGTTCTTGTGAGATGTCTTGTTGAAGGCTAAGGGTGTTGCTTACCTAGCATGTTCAAAGCCCTGGGTTCAGCCCCCTTACCACATCTGCAATATACTTGTAATGTGTTCTGTATTTTAAAATAGCAAGTATTTTTCTTCTGAATTTGGGAAAATCTTACGTTAAAATTTTTGGTTCTGAATTTTATTTTATTTTGTGACTTAAAAATGAGTGTAGCCGGGCAGCAGTGGTGCACACCTTTAATCCCAGTACTCCAGAGGCAGAGCCAGGCGGATCTCTGTGAGGCCAGCCTGGTCTACAGAGAGAGATCCAGGAAAGGCACCAAAACTACATGGAGAAACCCTGTTTCGAAAAACCAAAAAAAGAAAAGTATAAACTTCTGTTTCTGAACATTGTTTAGAAACGCATCTGACATGGTAGTGTGTGCCTGTAATCCCAGCCCTTGGAAGGCTTGAGGCAAGAGGATGGGGAATTCAAGGTCATCCTGGGCTGCGTGAACTCAACAGTTCTTACTTTTCACAATGAAGTTTTCATGTATTAAGTCTTTGTATTACCCATGATCCTGTTTCTAAATTCTCTTCCTCATCCCATCGATCTAGAGTTTCAAAGCCAGCCATGTGCTTTTCGTGTGGATTGCTTTGTGACTCATTCTGGTATCTTCTATGACAAGTTCTTTCTTATTCTCTGCGTTAGTCTCTGATATGAATTCCAGAGTTTTCTATGTAATAAAATATGCTGTTAAATTACCTAAATGTATTAAATATGTAAATTAACTTGAAAAAATTATGATGTTTGCAATATTTTATTTTTCCATAAAAATGTTTATAGTGTCATTTTTCTTGGGTTGATGCTAGGTTTCCAAGTAGATAGTCAATACAAATGTGTTAATACACTTATAGTTGTCATCATTACAAGTGAAATCTAGCTTCAAAGTGAAAATTTAACAGTTGTTACAGAAAAATATTTTTTTTTTACTTTTAGAATATATTTTCTGCTTCTGAATTCTGAAGTTCCTAAAATTCTTTGTAGATCAGTACTTCTGGGCAGTCACTAGGGACTGTATCACACAGCCAACCGACAAATCATTGGTGATCTTCCTTTGTGTTGATTTCCCTGATTTGGTTTCCCTGCTGATCACAATGGCAAAGACCTCCTCACAGTTTAGCAAATAAAACTCGGGATAAAGAGTGTCTGCCATCCTAGACACTTAGGAGGCCAAAGCAGGAAGGTCAAAAGTTCATGTCCTGCCTGGGCTTCAAAACAAGTTCAAGGTCAGCGGAGGCGACCAACGGGACCCTGTCTCAGAGTACATAGTGAAGAAGGGGCTGCAGATCTGGCTCGGTGGGAGAGTTAGTGACCTAATTTGATGAGGCCCTGTGATCAGTCCCCGGGGCTGGGAATGAAGGATGGCCCGTGCCTTGCTGCTCCACCGCTACTACCTGCCTGCATGGAGAGTGGCACTGGCGTTTTATTTCACCAGGTTTGTTTCCTTTGCTTCTCAGAAATTGAAAGTCTGGAATGTGTGTCTTATTCCCCCCCC